TAACCAATAGACGCCCGGCCAATAGCCGTTTGGCGGCCGGAAAAATACATTAGATTTCAGGGTGGACTGATAAAAATACTGATCACTTCCCCAAAGTAGTACAATGTTACTATGGTAACATTGTACTACTTTGGTCATAGTGAAATATGAAAAAAAAAATCTTAAAAAAAAGAAAAAAAATATAATAAAAATTTAAAATTAATAAAAAAAGTTTAAAAAAAATAAAAAAAAAATTGTATTTTTTTTTTCATACTGTCAGTGTCCCTGATCACCGCCATGCCAGTTATATGATGACGCTGTACTGCACTGGTGACAGTATGTAAAAAAAAAAAATAGTGAAAATAATTTTTTAAATTTTTTCATTTTCCGAAAAATTATGACAAAAAAATACAACTTCAAAAAACTCGCCATGCCTGTTATGAAATCCGTCGTACTGTCTACTTTACAAAAAGGGGTCATTTGTGGGATATCTATACTGTTCGGACATTCTTGGACCTCAAGAAATTAGATTGGCTGTCAGTACTTCAGGATTGATCAATATTCAGATCTATACCATAGTTTGTGAACTCTATAACTTTCCTACAAACTAAAAAATACATCCTAATTTGGGTTATTTTCACCAAAGACATGTAGCAGAATACATCTCGGCCTAAATTTATGAAGAACAATTATTTATTTGCAAACTTTTTAAAACAGAAACAAAGAAAAATGTGTTTTTTTTTCACAATTTTTGGTCTTTTTTTGTTAATTTAGCAAAAAATAAAAACCCCGGCGGTGATTAAATACCACCAAAAGAAAGCTCTACTTGTGTGAAGAAAATGATAAAATTTTAGTTTGGGTACAGTGTTGTATGACCGCGCAATTGTCATTCAAAGTGTGAGAGCGCTGAGACCTGAAAAATGGCCTGGGAGGGAAGGGGTAAAAGTGCCTGGTATGGAAATGGTTGAGCACCTGTTTTAGCATTTACTATGTCGTCTGTGTATGTGTTATTGTTCCCTTTGGTGGATTTATGCAATTTTACAGCATTGTAGATTTATTACATCCATTGATTCACATTTGTATGTGTAGCGCTTCACCACTATTGCATTATCATTGTTCATCCTTAGGTGTCAGGATAATATGATAGCAGCTCGCATAGATTCATTAACCTCCTGGCGGTCTGATTATTTCTGATTTTTTTGTGCTGAAAGCGGTACCATTTTTTTGCATTGAAATATGTAGTTTTTTATTGTAGGCTGTAATTGTTAGGAATAACTCACTGAAATCTGTCCGAACAAGAGTCTAGTAAACATCCCGGGTATGATAAAATTTGAAACACGAAATCATAAATTATAATTTAATAAATAATCATAAAAAATAATAATATAATAATAATAAATTTAATTCAATAATATAATCAAACCAAAAACACTGAAATTTGAAATACAGAGGCAAATTCGCACATCGCTGAGCAAAGTCGCAAAATCGTTTTCAGTGTCTGATGATGAATTTCCCCCACAAATCATTATCACTCAATTCTGCAAGTGGTTCTGATTTACTATCGCTGTTCTCTAGCTGGTCTAAAACCGCTTTTGACGTAAAGGGACGCTTTTTGGACGCCATGGACTTTTCTAAGTTTCCAGGCAGAAAGAACAGTCAAAATGCAGGCAGGACACAGGACAAAGCACTCGGGACAAAATGTATGTGAAATGCATTGAAACAGCAATGTTTTACTATGTAATAGTCATTTTTAAAAAAATGAAATTTTTTAAAAATTTTAAATTTGCCGCCGGTTCCGGCGCCCGTATGTCCCGACGTCACAGGGACCGGAACACGGAAGTCGGATGCCGGCATCAGCCGGGGACGCTGCAGGGGACACATTGTGGGAGCGAAGGACAAGGTAAGTGCTGCAGGGACCCCCGGAGCAACACCGCATGGTAAGCCCGAGTGTAGCTCGGGGTTACCGCTTTTGGTACTGAAATTGTACCCCGAGCTACACTCGGGAATACCGCCAGGGAGGTTAATTTCATCAATACCAGTGGAGCGCAGGGGGATTATTATTTACATTCGTTCACAATATGGTTATCGGTTAAAACATTAAAACATCCTGCTCATCAACAAAGAGAAAATCATACGATCAGTGGTTCCGCAAAATTTTTTCTACGATTTTCTTATCGTGTGTAGGGGGCATTAGTTAGGTTTTGCTTGAACTTTCACTATAAGGACGAGAGGGCTAGATGATGCAGGATACCCTCCAGCAAAGAAATGAAATGGGATCTATCTAAGTTGCTGGAGCTTCTAATGCATACTGTGAAACGCTCACAGTGTGCAGTGCAATCAAAGTAAACAATTTCAGTACAGAAGATGAGACCGAACAACTGTGCAAGGGGAGGCCGGAGTTGAAGATGTCTGTCACACTCTTGCTTTCTGCAGTAGATCTTTACCATAAATTCCATGAATTACGTTTGGTTTGATTATAAACGTTAGATAATGTTATCTGTAAATGATGCCCCAGCCTGGAGATGCATACAGTAATATTTATTTAGTGACATGGACCTTGGAGCCGTGTAAACTAGAACACAACTGAACATTTGGTTTCATGTTGTTGAGTTCAGACAACCTTGTTCCTCTGCCACATACATAAAATTATATCTGGTCAAAGGCAAACCTCAGCAAATAGAAATGACAGTTTACTCCCATCCACCCAAAACTGATATTTTACTTGTAGCCTCCCTAGCGGTCTGATTATGTCCATATTTCTGTGCTCAAAGCGGTACATTTTTTTGCATGGAAATATGTAGTTTTTTTTATTGTAGGCCTGTAATTTTTAGGAATGACTCACTGAAATCTGTCCGAACAAGAGTGTAGTAAACATCCCGGGTATGTTAAAATTTGAAACATGAAATCATAAATTATAATTTAATAAATAATCATAAAAAAATAATATAATAATAATAAATTTAATTCAATAATATAATCAAACCAAAAACACTGAATTTTGAAATATAGCGCCAAGTTCGCACATCACTGAGCAAAGTCGCAGAATCGTTTTCAGTGTCTGATGATGAATTTCCCCACTAATCATTATCACTCAATTCTGCAAGTGGTTCTGATTTACTATCGCTGTTCTCTAGCCGGTCTAAAACCGCGTCTGACCTAAAGGGACGCTTTTTGGACGCCATGGACATTTCTCAGTTTCCAGGCAGAAAGAACAGTAAAAATGCAGGCAGGGCGCAGGACAAAGCACTCGGGACAAAATGTATGTGAAATGGTTTGATACAGGAATGTTATACTATGCGATTTTAGTGTATTTAGTAAATGTCACTTTTACAACTTTCCCGCCAGTTCCGTCCCCCGTATGTCCCAACATAGCAGGGAACGGAACCCGGAAGACAGATGCCGGCATTGGCCGGAGGACATTACAGGGGACACTGCAGGAGGGACATTGCAGGAGCGCAGGACAAGGTAAGTGAAGAACAGATCCCGGAGCAACGCTGCAGTGTATTCCCGAGTGTAGCTCAGGGTTACTGCTTGTGGTGCTGAAACTTTACCCCGAGCTACACTCGGGAATACCGCCAGGGGGGTTAAAGTAATGGCAGTCAGTCAGCTGCAAATAGAAGATATAGAAAGAAATAATATGAGGGGGATCAGGAAGGAATTGTTTTCCCAGCAGGAGCAAATTGGATCATGCTTTGCTGGGTTTTTTTTTGCCTTCCTCTGGATCAACTGTGGGTATAGGATTATAATTTTTTTTTAATGGTTGAACTGGATGGACTTTTGTCTTTTTTTAGCCAGACTAACTATGTAACTATGAGACAATGGTGATTGTAAAATAGCTTTTTCAATAACACACCCCCAGATTGCTGAATGGAAAATAAAGCAGCAGCAGCACATCCATGAGTCGTCACTCTGCTCTCTCCTCCTATCAGCTTCACAGCACGTGTGTACAGCAGAAGCTGAATGGTTTCTAGGTCTGATCCTTTTCTCCCAGTCAGAGTTTTGCTGCACAGGGGATTACAGGAGGCTAAAAACAAGTCAGTTTCAGGTTCTTACACTAGCTAGGTTTATCATATTAGGGCTCGTTCACACGTGACTTTATTTCTAACTCTTGCCAAACGCCCCTATAGCGTTAGACAGGCATTTGGGAAGCGTTTTTAACGTTCCTCAAACGCTCCCCAAATGCCCTATGCACAGATTTGAGGTGGTTGATAGGCGTTTGCCAAGTGTTAAAACCGCACCACAAATGCCTATAATGAAGTTAAATGGTATTAATGCTCCGCAACCGCGTCACAAACGCCTGTCAGGCATTTGCGGAGCGGCACCATAGACTTGAATGGGAGGCTTCAACTCCTCCTGAGTCAACACGAGGCGTCAGTTTTGCCGCGACACTAACGCTTCAGTGTGAACAACACTGTGTGCTGCCATGTGCAGAATTTTCATAGGCCTTGGAGAAGTGTTAAAAACGCTTCCCAAATGCCTGTCTGACGCCTGCTGACAAAGCTAGTGGGAACTGAGCCTAACTGTAATGCAGTGAGGCTGCACATACAGCAATGACTATGCCTCTTTTTAATTTTTTATCTACATTGCAGCAAGTGTTAAAAAAAAAATGTGCTGGCAGCACTAGGAGAGTCGGGCTTCCCTCTCACATACAAGCAGCAGTCCACCTCTTCAACATTCAGCCCCAGTTCCCCTCCTAGTGGGCAAAATTATGTGGACACCAGGGGCGGACTGACCATTTGGAAACTCGGGCACTGCCCGAGGGCCCAGGGTCAGTAGGGGGCCCCATGAGATGCCTCTGGTACCTTTTTCGTAGGTTTTTTTGAGTTTGGGCAAGGACACAGGGGCCCCATGATCCCCTATTGAGGGCCCGGGGTCAGTAGGGGGCCCCATGAGATGCCCCTGGTACCTTTTACTTAGGCTTTTTTGAGTTTTGGCAAGGACACAGGGGCCCCATGATCCCCTATTGAGGGCCCGGGGTCAGTAGGGGGCCCCATGAGATGCCCCTGGTACCTTTTTCATAGGCTTTTTTTTGAGTTTGGGCAAGGACACAGGGGCCCCATGATCCCCTATTGCCCGGGGCCCCATGAGTTGTCAGTCCGCCCCTGGTGGACACCCCCTACAAATTAGTGAGTTCAGGTGTTTCCAATGAAGGGTCCTATTAAAGCTACAGAATACAATCACTTTAACCACTTACCCTCCAGAGGATTACTTCCCTTCCTGACCAGGCCATTTTTTGCGATACGGCGCTGCTTTAATTTAATTGACAATTGTGCGGTCATGCAACGCTGCATCCAAATTAAATTTATGTCCTTTTTTCCCCACAAATAATGCTTTCTTTCGGTGGTATTTGATTGCCTGTGCGTTTTTGATTTTTTGTGCTATAAACAAAAAAAGGCCGACAATTTTGATCAAAAAAAAAAAAAACAATATTTTTGACTTTTTGCTATAAAACATGTCCAGTAAAAAAAAATTTAAATCAAATTTCGTCATACATTTTGGCCAAAATGTATTCTGCTGCATGTGTTTGCTAACAAAAAAATCCTAATATGTATAAATTAATTGGTTTATGTGAAAGTTATAGCATCTACAAATGGCGGGAAAGATACTGGGATTTGTATTTATATATTTAAACTAGTAATGGCAGAGATCAGCGACTTATAGCGGGACTGCGGTGGGCACTCTTGACAATATATCGAAAAATCTTGTGAGCTGCTAATCTGAGTGCAAATGCCAAATAATAATGTGAACAATATATGTACTGTATAAAAATTGTGAATCGCTCACACCATACACATCCATACAAATGAGTTAATTATAATTAAATAGAAATATAGTGCCGCCAGGGGCGGACTGACCATTTAGCCACTCGGGCACTGCCCGAGGGCCCGGGGTCAGTAGGGGGCCCCATGAGATGCCCTGGTACCTTTCATTGGCTTTTTCATAGGTTTTTTTTGGGTGTGGGCGAGGACACGGGGGCCCCATAATTTCCTATTGCTTGGGGGCCCCATGAGTTCTCAGTCCGCCCCTGAGTGCCGCTATCAGCTGTAACATGGGGGGTGATTAGCTCTGGTGGTAGATGCTTTCCAAGTGAGTCCACGCTAGTCAGAAACTCTTTTTCAGGGCCCACTTTTATTAACCACTTCAAGTCCGGACACTTTCACCCCCTTCCAGTCCAGGTCAATTTTCAGCTTTCAGTGCTTTGAATGACAATTGCGTAGACATGCAACACTGTACCCATATGAATTTTTTAGCATTGTTTGGAGACAAATAAAACTTTATTTTGGTGGTGTTTAATCACCACTGGAATTTTTATTTTTGTCTATATAAATGAAAAAGTCAAAAAGTTTTTTTTAAAAAAGTGTTTTTCTTATAACATTTTGCAAATTAATAATCTTTCTTCATAAATCTTGGCCAAAATGTATTAATCTATCTTTTTAGTTAAAAAATAGCAAATTAGTTTATAACCAAAAATTATAATTTTTCAAAAATGTTTTTGTTTTTATATTTTTTGTGCTTTTAAATAAATAGATTAGTTGAACCCACGAGTGCTTTTTTTTTAGCACTACTATAAAGGAATTTTTTTGTATAATTCTCCTTCAACCACTTCCCGTCCGGACACTTTCACCCCCTTCCAGTCCAGGCCAATTTTCAGCTTTCAGCGCTGTCACACTTTGAATGACAATTGCGTGGTCATGCAACACTGTACCCATATGAATTTTTTAGCATTTTTTGGAGACAGATAAAACTTTATTTTGGTGGTATTTATTCACCACTGGAATTTTTTTTTTTTCTATATAAATGAAAAAGTCTAAAAAATTTTTTAAAGAAGTGTTTTTCTTATAACATTTTGCAAATAAATAATCTTTCTTCATAAATCTTGGCCAAAATGTATTAATCTATCTTTTTAGTTAAAAAAAAACCCAAATTAGTTTATAACCAAAAATTATAATTTTTCAAAAATGTTTTTGTTTTTTATATATATATTTTTTTTAACATACTGTCACCCTAGCAGTACAGTGTCACCATAGTGACACTGTACTACTTGTGGGGGGTGATGAAGATTTTTTTTTCTTTTTTTTTACACTGATTGCTTTTATACCCATAAAGGCTGTAAAAGCAATCATTTCTGCAGCCATTGAGAAATACTGTGCGAGCTGCGATTGGTCACAGGTTGTCACATGTTACAGGGCTGTTGTGAATAGCCTTGTGACCTCTGTGATCATTCACAGATTTCACAAGTAGTAAGCAATGATGACAGGAAGTGACATATTGTTTACTACTGTTGATGTGATCACGAATCAGGACCGCACACAGAGGTCCCGTACAGCGATTTATGTTCTGATCGCAGTGGCGCGCGCTCCCAGGGAGTGCGCACAAGCAATGGCTGTGGGCGGGGATGTTTAGAGACGTCTACCCACATCGGTAGCTCTCCCGTCCAGCCCTTTATCGACATGGGCCGGAAGGGAAGAGGTTAAAAGGCAAGAAACAAGAACACAAAAGTACAAAAGCTTTCCCACACAGGGGTTCTTCCCCAGTTGTAAATCCTCATGAAAAATGCTAAGCCTCCTGGCTACTCCTTATTAGCACTGCTGGTCAGCAGTACCTCTGCTGTTGTGGGTCTCCCATATCCCTGGCTATTCCTGGCACACAACTTCAGACTTCTTTAATCCCCCTGGTATTCCCGAGTGTAGCTCGGGGTTAATTATCAGTGCCAAAAGTGGTAACCCCAAGCTACACTCGGGAATACCATGCAGGGCTGCTCTGGGATCCCTGTTTCACTTACCTTGTCCTGCACTCCCATGATGTCCCCCCTGCAGTGTCCCCAGCCATCTCCTAAGGCCAATGCCGACATCCGTCTTCCGGTCCCTCCGAGCGTCGAGATGTACGGGACATACGGGGGCCGGAACTGGCAGGAAATTTAAAAATTTTAAGAAGTGCCATTCACTAATACACTAAAATCACATAGTATAACATTACTGTAGCAAACCATTTCACATACATATTGTCCCGAGTGCTTTGTCCGGCGCCCTGCCTGCATTTTTAACTGTTCTTTCTGCCTGGAAACTGAGAAACGTCCATGGCGTCCAAAAGCGTCCCTTTAGGTCAAAAGCGGTTTTAGACCAGTTAGAGAACAGTGATAGTAAATTAGAACCACTTGCAGAATTGAGTTATAATCATTTGTGGGGAAATTCGTCATCAGACACTGAAAACTATTTTGCGACTTTGCTCAGTGATGTGTGAACTTGGCACTATAGTTCAAATTTCAGTGTTTTTGGTTTGATTACATTATTGAATTACATTTATTATTATTTTATTATTTATGATTATTTATTAAATTATAATTTATGATTTCGTGTTTCAAATTTTATCATACCTGGGATGATTACTAGACTCTTGTTCGGACAGATTTCAGTGAGTTATTCCTAAAAATAACAGGCCTACAATAAAATAACAACATATTTCCATGCAAAAAAATGTACCGCTTAGAGCACAGAAATACTGACATAATCAGACCGCTAGGGAGGTTAACCCCCCTGGCGGTATTCCCGAGTGTAGCTCGGGGTAAAGTTTCAGTACCAAAAGCGATAACCCCGAGCTACACTCGGGCTTACCATGCGGCGTTGCTCAGGGATTCCCTGCAGCGTTTACCTTGTCCTGCGCTCCTGCGATGCGTCCCCTGCAGTGTCCCCGGCCATCTCCTCCGGCCGATGCTGGCATCTGGCTTCCGTGTTCCGATCCCTGCGAGCGTCGGGACATACGGGGGCCGGAACGGCAGCAAATTTAAAAATTTTTAGAAACAGTCATTTTCTTAGAAATTAATTTGACATAGTAAAACATTCCTGTATCAAACCATTTCACATACATTTTGTCCCTACTGCTTTGTCCTGTGCCCTGCCTGCATTTTGACTGTTCTTTCTGCCTGGAAACTTAGAAAAGTCCATGGCGTCCAAAACGTGTCCTTTTGGTCAAAAGCGGTTTTAGACCGGCTAGAGAACAGCGATAGTAAATCAGAACCACTTGCAGAATTGAGTGATAATTTTTGGGGAAATTCATCATCAGACACTGAAAACAATTTTGCGACTTTGCTCAGCGATGTGCGAACTTGGCGCTATATTTAAAATGTCAGTGTTTTTGGTTTGATTATATTATTGAATTAAATTTATTATTATATTATTATTTTTATGATTATTTACTAAATTATAATTTATGATTTAGTGTTTCAAGTTTTATCCTACCCAAAATGTTTACTAGACTCTTGTTCAGACAGATTTCAGTTAGTTATTCCTAAAAATTACAGGCCTACAATAAAAAAATACATATTTCCATGCAAAAAAAATGTACCTCTTTCAGCACAAAAATATGGACATAATCAGACCGCTAGGGAGGTTAAGGCACACAGCCTTAAGCCCTTTTGATACACACTGCATCCATCTCACAGAGAGACTCACAATGGCAGCCACTACTCCAAGTGCACTCCACTCCCCCATGCAACCCTCAGCAGACCATCATTATAAGCGCTGTGAGCACCTGGGCCCACGCCATGCTGGTTGACTACAAACTCTGGACACTGGATTGGAGATTTCTTCCCTCCCAAGGCACTTTGAATTCTACAAACTACGGAGCCCCATCCAGAAATATCAAAATCCGGAGAAATCTGCAACAGCAGTCTTCTCCACTCAAAATCTACGCTGCGTAGTTCTGCACTGCACACATGTGCAGACCCTGTGTCCATTACCTGACCACTTCTACCTATTTTGTATTCTGTGACAGGGCCCTGCACTGTTACACAGAAATAGAACTTAAATCATCTATCAAATGATCTATTAAATAAGTGTCCGTGCAGAATCCGTGGTTGTTTCCATCCACTATTATGTAGGGATAGGATGCTTCTTAATACACCTCGTGTGATATATTCAAGCCAATATCGTGCACCTCCACCGCTTGTGCTCTCACTTTGTGTATATGACCAAACCGCTAAGTAAGGTCATAGCATATGTCCCTTTATTGGACTGTGGTGGGATGGTAATGCTGTCCAGTGGGTCTGGGTCTCCTTCCCTGTCCTAGTAATCCTCCTCCATCAGATCAATTGCAAAAAA